CGTTATTGACTGTTGGATAATATTGGTCTGGTCCTTTCTCCTACGCCACAAGGAGCTTAGGTTTATTGAGTAACACCCATCACAATGCTTCCCTGGCATTCCCATTCATTTTTTTAAAAAATTTATTAATTTTTTAATTTTTTAAATTTTTTATTAGTGAAACATCATGAGGTACAGTTGTAGACTTACAAATTTTTGTGCTTGGGTTTCAGTTACACAATGATCAAGTACCCATTCCTCCACCAGTGCCCATTGTCCACCACCATGGATCCCAGTATCCCTCACACCCCCATCCCCCCATACCCCCCTGCCTCTGAGGCAGGGCATTCCCTTTTGATCTCTCTCTCCTTTTGGGTGTTGGTTCACACATGCTAGGGGAAAAGGGAGCTCAGATATATAAGGGAGCACCAAATAAAGGGTGTTGGGAGGATCTTCCCAGGATGGGAGAAGCATGCTGAAAGTAGACTATAGACCAAACATGATTGCCACTCAATGCCTCTTTTGCAATCTCATTCATTTTTAACTTCTCTTTTGTGCTCTCCTTCCCCTATCTGTTAGTCACTCATTTCCCCTAATCAGACTCTGTGACCTGTAAGGTCAGATTCTTCAGAGTATTCTGGATTTTGTATTTGTAAGTGAAACATTGCTTTTCTCTTTCCTTTATGTCCTTTGCAGTTTATTTTAGAGCAATGTTCTTTTTTTAAAAAAAATTATTTTTATTAGTGAAACACCATGAGGTAGTTACAGACTTACAAATTTTTGTGCTTGGGTTTCAGTTATACAATGAACAAGTACCCATCCCTCCACCAGTGCCCATTTTCTACCACCACGGGTCCCAGTATCCCCCCCTGCCTCTGTGGCAGGGCATTCCCTTTTGTTCTCTCTCTCTCTCCTTTTGGGTATTGTGGTTTGCAAGAGAGGCATTGAGTGGCAATCATGTTTGGTCTATAGTCTACTTTCAGCATGCTTCTCCCATCCTGGGAGGATCCTCCCAATAGAGCAATGTTCTTTTTTGGGGTATAGACACATAAAGACAGTTAAAGCTATGCTCTTGTTACGTGAGAGTTAATTGTCTCTGAATAATATTTACTCCTGGGCATGTCAGATTTATTCGACTTAAGTGTTAGTTGCCCTTAGCTCCTACTACCTTGAAAGGAGGGTCCCGATGAAGGGATTTGGATGGACCTAGTGCAAGCAGTAAGTTACCCTCACATCGAAAAGGGACAGGCCAAGCACCATAAAACATAAGAGCATGATCATGGACAAATGCTGTCATGACCCAAAAAGAAATACCTGGATAAGGACCCTGCTGAGGTTAGGAAAGACTAACCTATGTAATAAAAAAATGAATACAACACCTCAGCGCTCTCTCACCACCTGCATTTGTGGTCTCAGGCCATCTCCCTCACCCTGGACAGTGGATGCAATGGATGGAAGAAGGAGTAAACAAGGGCCAGGCCGGTTGGTGATCAGTTGCAGTTTATTCCAATCTCATCTCCCTCTTCCTCCTTCCAGTCTCACCCACCTCTGTATTCTTCTTCCTACCCTTTTCCCCTGTGCCCACTCTTACAGCCTTAGTTATATCCCAAATCATGAGGGGCTGGGGTAGCAATTACACATAGGTGTGGTCATATGACAACAGATGTAAGTCCTTTCCTCAGGGGAAGCTCCTCCTAGGACAAATTCTCATCCAGTAAGATGACCCGCCTAAGGGCAAAATACCATCTAGGGGTACGTTTCTCTTTTCCTTAGTACAACAATCACTTAAACATTTGTTTTAATTCTACTTCTTAATACTAAAAAAACATGTAGTGCCAGAGGCAGTTCATGGGCATGACTGCCAAGCTTCCAGAAGAACAGGGAGATGGGGGGAGGTAGCCCACCTCTGACTCCAGGAGAGCATGGGAATTTTAATCACAAACCTCACATACCTGGGTTTTTCAACAGATCAATTTCTAGATGAGGCTCATCGCAAGCAGCGGCTTATGACCATGAGCATGGCAGTGATTGTGGAGTGTGGGTTTTCAGCTGCCAGGGCTCTGACTGGGTGGGTAGTGGGCTCACCTGACCCACGCCATCTTGCCCCATGTGACACTCAGCCTGGTGTGGAGTCCAGAAGCATATATGCAGCTTGTTGATCTCTTTTGAGATTTATTTAGGAATCTCTAGATCTTGGCCAGTTATTGAACTTATTTGGCACAAGCCAGAGGCGGTTCATGGGCATGACTGTCAGGTTCCCAGAAATACAGGGAGAAGTGGGGAAGTAGTCCATCCCTGACTCCATGAGAGCCTGGAGATTTCAACGAACATGATTTTATTCTTAAAATTAACATGGCAAGTGCTGTCCTGTTTCATTCAGAGCAGCAGCAGCAGCTCACACATATTTAGGTTATACACAAGTTTCTGATAACTGAATTATTAACCGGCCCACTGCATGCTTGTTGCAACTTATTTCTTGCCATGGTTTCAACAAATGTGAAGGCAAATACTATGGCCATGGAAACTAGGAAAAATGCTTCAGTGTACTGAGTATTGTTAAAATATTAAAGTTATTATTAAAATACTCAACCTGCAGTATTTATAGTCTTCATATTTCAAAAAGATACACAGTAGAATTCATCTATGCGATAAATAGCATGTTTGTTTGAAGATGAAGTTCATTATTTCTACTTATAAACACTAAAGGTAAGACTATTTATAATTCTGAGGTAACCTACAATGTAGTTTGGTATTACTGAGCTGGACTCTTCCAGAGCTGTGGGAGGCAACAAATGTGAACAAACTCTGCTGACAGCCTGTACGCTCCAAGCATCCTCAAACACTCTCTCAGCTACTCATATCGACCCTGCCTGGCAGGATCTGTGAGTTCTGATTTATAGAAACACAGAACTCATGTAACCTAGGAATGTGACCAAACTTAGCACAGTGCCTGGGAGACAGCAAGTGCTCAGTATTCAGAGTTCCAGTTGAACACTGGAATGGTGGTAAAGTGTCAAAATCCGAATTTAGCTCCAATTGTATAAAAAAGCCCACACAATTTCCATTCTACCTCATTGCTTCTGAGTGAGACTGTTTATCCTGGGCTGATACAAAATGGCAATTACTGCGAAAATATTAAATCAGGGCCCTAAGATTTCTGACTATTTCAGTATCAAAATGCATACTTATGAAAGGAGAAGAATAAGAAACACACTGAGGATCTTCAAGGGGTTTAAAATTTTTATCATACACAGTACATAAAAATAACTTAAGTTTATAGTTTAACACATTATATTTGTAAGGAACATTTTATTAGTTAATACAACTTGTCCCTTTGCTGTACAACTGTAACAAAGTATTTAAATCTTTCCTATAAAAACACTATTCAAATTGTGTTCTTTGAATTTTTTGGAGCTATATCTCCTTTCTTTCACTTAGAGTGAAACAATTATTTAAAAATGGTAATATAAGTAAAATGTGGCATGTTTTATCTGCATTGAAAAAAAGAGTTGAAAGTCTTACTGGTTTTTCCTATATAAAACTACATGTAACTTTGTACTAAGTTTTATTAAAGCAGCTCTCCTTTTAAAAAATTACTAACTTCTTTAAATCCTTTCTATAAAATATCATGCAAATGTTTTAACTTTTAAGAATTTTAAATGTTATGCCTACTTTGCACTCATGTCTCTTTCCTTCTTTACCCCACATGCATATATTTCTTGAAAATGCTAACAGAAATAAATGCGACATATGACTTTTCGATTTTTTGCCCCTTGCATTGAAATCTTGTTCAATTATAAAAATTAAAAGATAATTCTTTTTAAGCTCTCAAATACAATCTACTTACTAGAAGTAAATTAATGCACAGAATTAAGTAATTTTCTTATGCCACATGCAGAGAGCCAAGACATAAGGCATAAAAAAAACTCCAAGATATTTTAAAGTAGATGTATGCTAAAATATTAGAAATGTAGCATATTTACTTCCCAGCAGAGGAAAATAATGTTTGGCAATGATACCTTTAAGATAGAAATTTGCCATTTATTCTTGGGTAGATTATAAATTGGGTGAAAGACTTATGAAGCACCAGCTTCTTTATCCAAATCCCCATATAAATGAGGACTTTAAAAATGTGTTATTACAAAAGATGATGACTGGAAAGGAAGATAACATAAGGGGAGCCAAAGGGCTCTCAAGATGACAATGTCTTTTTTTTTTAATTATTCAAGATCTAGAATCTTAAAATCTCACTTGATAAATTAAGCTGGCTTTTCTCCTGGTTATGTTTAATCCCCAAATTCAGTTTTACACATAACAATTTTTATTTTATCTGAATATCAAAAGAAAAACCACTGGATTATAAATACAGATTAATAATCAGTTGAATTTTGATTCAGAACAAACCAATGGTAAATTCTTATTTGATTAAATAAATTTCAAGATTCAAACATCACAAAATGTTTTGAAAAAAACCTTGAAATTATAAAGAAATTATAAACTTGAATTACTAAAAATCTATTATAGATCTCTCCTGAGGACTACTGAAAGCAAATCCAGCTTAACAGACCATTGGTTATGAAGAGAAAGTTTCCTCACAGAGGTAAACACGTTGTGACCAATAGTAGGATCTCAAACACCCTGAAAAGATGCCTTAGGCTAAGTATAGAAAGAGCCTGAGCTGCTGCACCCTGGAACCACAGAGAGTCTGAAGGAATTCATATAGGCGGATACAAAAGGACTTACCTATCTTTGATTTTTAAATTTCACTGTTCTTATACATACATATTCTTCTTTAAGATGAACATTTGTTTATATAATCTGATATAATTTGATCATTTATATGACAACCGTAATAGGGTTGCTATTCAATGAAAAGCAATACAAACTCTGAATAATCAGAAAAATTTTGTCTTAATATCTTTTTCTTAAGGGTCCCTTATTAAAGATTTTTATTGATGTATGTAAGGCCCAAAGTGGTTGCTTTAGACGCACTTCTCTACAGCACAGTGTAATGGACTGACTCATGCTGCATTAACCTTCAATACTCTGTACACACTATTCTGAAAAACTGTGGTGAAGTAAGGCTTTGCATCACTGAGCAAGATGCTGCATAAGGGAGGGTTGGCAGCATTGGAAGGGTCTTCCAGATCCCAAATCTCAAGCATGCTGCAACCGGGTCTGAAAAACCAAACAAGAATGTAAGTGTGTGTATATATATGTGTATTCATTCAATACATACCTAATATTTTTAGCATGATTTCAACAAAGACCCAAGTTCAACAGAGATTAAAAAAACATGAAATTAAATTCTTCGGTGGCACCTTTATCTTCTGTGTGACCAAAAAATGAAAGATGTGTTATCATCAATATAAATTGAAAATTCATTTCCCATAGTGCCCACAGACTGTAGTCTCCTGAGGAGTTAGGGACTCTCAAACCTATTTCTGGTGATAGGGTGATTTTAAACACTATCTCTTCTCTTCTTTAGAGGAATTTTGGTGATTAAGACTCAAACTTTCAATTTAAGTGATGAACGTGGGAAAGAATCACAACATAAAAATTTTAAAATACAAATGCATTGACTAAACAATTTTACCTTTCTTGTTTTTTAAAAAAATTTACCTTTCTTATACAACATAAAAATCTTTCTACTAACATTATCAAAATGCAATAAAATAAATGTACTTTTTAAATTTTATCATCATATTTGATATAAGTATTTAGTTCTCATTCACTTTTGTAATTACCTGCTATTATTTAGGCATGCTATTTTCCATTTTTTCCTGTTTCCTCCATTTTTAATTATCTTTTTAGACTTTCATGTAAATCAAATTTTATTATATCATTTGATCATTTATTTATTACTCATGGTTGCATTTTTTTGGTGCTTGCTCTACGAATTACCATAGGCATCTATCATTTATCAAAATTTAACAGTAAAATTGAATTACTGCCAGTAAATCATGTTTTTCAAGTTTCTTGAAACTTCCTTTCTTATGCTACTTTTATTATATATTAAATCTATTTACATAACAAAATACAATGTCATTTCTTTACATAAAATAGGTTAAAGATTTTTAGAAGAAAAATACATGTGCATGAAAGTAATGAATATTTATCCAAATATTTTATACTTCTAATACATTTTAGTACATTGGTATATTTTCATTACTATCTTGTATCAAATTCCACAAGCTTAAAGAATTCTATTTGAAAAAGAAGGAAAATAATTAAAAAGAAAACAAGATAGAAGAGATTGTGGAACAAGGAGTGATAAAACTGAAATGTAGATGTGATTATGTTAAGATATTATAAATTTTCCTGTCTTTTCTAGAAGTTTAAGTATCATGTTTTACCTTAAGTTTTCATATAAATTTGAGCACTGTGTATGTATAGGTGTACAATGTAGGATAATGATTAAATTTCATTGTTTTAAAAAAAGAAGAATTCTACTTGATCTTAACTGTTAAGTATGTGAGCAACAAGTTATCTCAGATTTTTATTTTAAATGTTTTACCACTTGTCCTAAATTATACATTCACCGAATATGTCATTTGTAGTTGATATTTTCCTTCAGTATTTTGAATTATCCAATTATTAGTCAGTGGGTAATTTTTTAGGAAAATTATTAGTAATAAATTACAATTACCTAATAATTTGTAATAATTACATGATTATATTTAACAATGAATCAAATCATTCTAATACTGCTGATAATTATTTTTAAATAATCATATCTAAAAATCATATCTAGTGGAGTATATTACTTTTTCTCATTACTTTGAACATTTTCTCTTTAGTCTGTTTTTTTTCTTCTTCTTTAGTCTTTGTTTTTAACTACTTCTGTGCCTTAATGTGATCTCCCTTCAGTCATTATTTTCAACCCTGTTCTTTAGACTGGCTACTTTAAAAATCTGTTTTCAAATTTACCAGTTGTCCTTTGTTGTCATTTCAGATCTATTGAACAAATTTTAACAATTCTGATTTCACTTATTCGTACTTGTTATACAATTCATATTTTTCTGAGGTGGATGTTTTATTTATCAGTTGAGATCCCATATCTCAACATTTAAATCACTTTCTGGGAGGGGCCTCCCTGCAGTGCTTAGGGGCCACCCTGGGCCATACTGCTCAGCAGTTCCATGCAGGACACAAGGCTGCAGTGCTGCAGTGGAAAGGCCCCCTGGGCCTCCCAGGCACGAGTCACTGACACACACCCTGGTGGGGACTGCGGGCTCCTCTAACCGCTTTTGTATGCCAAGTTTTCCTTTAGTTACTTGATGTTTAAAACTTTGTAATGACGACTTTGCAAACGTTGTTTGCTAACTAACATCTGGACTGACTTGATTCATGTCTACTTAATGTCTTTTCCCCTGAGTATTGGTCACATGTGCCCATTTCCCCTTAGGCCTAATATTCTTTAACTTAAAGGTTTAAGTTAATACATTATAGTATTCTGCAGTGCTCTGCCTACTTGTTGACTGACCATTTGTGGTTGCTCTAGAATGGAATTTAAATACTGGATTTCATGTCACGTACAGTAACTGTTTCTACTTAGTACTTTTAGATTCCAACTATCTCTCTTTTATAATTTTTGGGTTTTGGAACATACCAGGCAGTGCTCAGGTTTACTCCTACCTCTGCACTCAGGAATCACTCTTGGTGGGCTCAGAGACCATATGGGATGCTGGAGATCGAAGCCAGGTCAGCAGCTCTACCCACTGTACTATCTCGAGTCCCTCTTTTTTTAGAGCCTGTCCAGGGTTTGGACATAATATCATATCTGAAAGTCCTTCTCTATATATCCCTTACTTCTAAAGGAGTTCTCTGTATAAAAGGGTTCTCTTTAAAAAGTATAGTAGCTCTGCTATACCCTGACCTCTTAAATCAGTAATCATAAGTCTGCTTTCTGCTTTTTGGGATGTTTTAAGAATCTGCCAAAAGCCCAAGAAACTTGCAAATGATTTATGTCCTCTATGGATATGCTCCGAATGCTAGGAATTACCTGTCCACAGAGGTATGTAGAATTCTATACTTCCCTTTGTTATACATTTAAATCTATATTTCAGATATGCAGTAAAATGAATTTTAAAATGTATTTTACACATTGAATAAAAATACAAAACTTGAAAATTTTAAAAGATAAAATTATGATATTAAATTGAAACCAGAATACTAATATTGTTAGTTGAAAGAGGGAAACAATTTTGGTGAATAAAATTTCTTTTAAAATAATATCTATAACAAAACATTTCTTACTGAAAAGTATACTTTTATCATACTTACTTAGTTCTTACAACGCACCATGCCTCTTCAAAAATGTAATAATTCACATATAAATCTATAAGTTTATCTCTTACTTCTTTTGCAGACTTTCGACTGTATGTAGAATAAACTATTTTTGTTCGAGCCCTTTAAATAAAAGCAGAAGTTCTTTTAAAAATTAAGTAAACTATAATAATACGGAACAAGAAAACTTAAGTAGCAAATTGAAAGCTCAGTGCTGGTGAAACATTGATATATATGACCCCAAACTGTCTCAAATATTTGGGGGATAGTAATTTTCACTTTCTTACCAATAATTTGCACATGCTAAAATAGATTGAATTTTAAGTACGGTCACTGTCACGGTCAGGTCCTCCCGTTGTTCATCGATTTGCTCGAGCGGGCCCAATAACGTCTCCACCGTGAGACTTGTTGTTACTGAGTTTGGCATATCGAATACAGCACGAGGAGCTGCTTGCCAGGCTTTGCCCTGAGGGCGAGATACTCTCGGTAGCTTGCCGGGCTCTCCGAGAGGGGCAGAGGAATTGAACTCGGGTCGGCCATATTGGCTGCATGCAAGGCAAACGCCCTACCGGAAAAAAAAATTAAGTACAGTTAGCCCTTATGGTTTCTGCATCCAAGATTAACCACTATGAACTGAAAAAAAAAAAGTACGACGCAGCATTACACAGTGGGTACATCTGTACTAAATATGTAGACTTTTACCTTTTGTCACGATTGTAAACAAAATAGTATAACAATTAATGTTGCATTAGATATTATAAGCCATCTAGAGATGACCTAAAGTATACATATGGAAGGATGTGTGTAGAGTAACACAAACACTAGCTCATTTTATGTAAGGAAATGGGGCATCTATAGATCTGGGTTTCCACTAAGGTTCTAGAACCAATCCCCAAAGATGCTGAGAAATGACTGTGCTGCTTTTTAGTACATAACAAAGACCACAGTCGAAAGCAGGATAATTCCAAACATAAAACACCTGTTGCATACTTCATAGTATCTGCTCATGGGACACATTCAGCTAGAAGCTGGATAGAGTGAACACATAGATTTGAGTAGATAATTTCATTTCTAGACTCTGAAAAGCATAGGAGTTGTGACTGAATGTAGCAAGTAGAATGTTCAAGACAATTGGGGTTGTGGAGAAAATATCTCAATAGGTGCTATAAGAGTAGGAATGTTCACTAAAATATGATTTAAAAAAAGAAGATCTGAACTTACATGAGTTTTTATGTAATTCTCAATAAATTGCTATTTATGCTTGTAATTTTATTTATTTATTTATTTTTTGCTTTTTGGGTCACACCTGGCGATGCACAGAGGTTACTCCTGGCTCTGCACTCAGGAGTTACTCCTGGCGGTGCTCAAGTGACCATATGGGATGCTGGGAATCGAACCCGGGTCGGCTGCATGCAAGGCAAACGCCCTACCTGCTGTGCTGTCTCTCCAGCCCCTATGCTTGTAATTTTAGAATCTCAAGTATACAAGAATCTCAACAACCAGCGTTAAACCTTAAACACTTAAGCAACTTATCTACTGCCTAAGATAGCCCATGGAATGGGGAAAAAATCATTCACCCATACCCCTTCTGATAAAGGACTAAATCAAAGTTATATGACAGCAGTAGAAACTTACAAGAAAAAAAAATCCAACCCCATCAAAAAATGGGGAGAAGGAATGAACAGAAACTTCCTCAAAGAAAAATCTCAAATGGCCAAAAGGCACATGAAATAACATTATATATCACTAATCATCAGGGAGATGCAAATCAAAACAATATCACCTTACACCACCTAGACTGACACACATACAAAAGAACAAGAACAACCAGTGCTGGAGTGGATTCGGGAAGAAAGGAACTCTCATTCATAGTTGGTGGGAATGTTGACTGGTCCAGTCTTTTTGGAAAACAATATGGATATTCCTCCAAAAACTAGAAATTGAGCTCCCATATGACCCAGCAATACCACTTCTGGGAATATACCTGGGGGCCCAAAAACACACAGCAGAAACACTATCTGCCTTCTATGTTCATTGTAGCACTATTCACCAGAGCCAGAATCTGGAAACAACCCGAGTGCCCAAGAACAGATGAATGGATAAAGAAACGAAGGTATATCTATGCAATGCAAAATTATGCAGCCATTAGGAAGACTGGAGTAATAAAATTTGGTTATAAATGGATGGACATGGAGAGTATCTGCTGAGTGAAATGAGTTAGAAGGAGAGAGACAGGTATAGAAATGACAGCATTTATCTGCGGTATATAAAATATATATATATACACATATATACTATGTATATATACATATATTATATACAATATGTATACATATATAGCACTGTCCTCCCGTTGTTCATTGATTTGCTCCAGCGGGCCTAGTAACATCTCCATTGTGAGACTCGTTGTTACTGTATTTGGCATATCAAATACATCATGGGGAGCTTGCCAGGCTTTGCCTTGCGGGTGAGATACTCTTGGTAGCTTGCTGGGCTCTCCGAGAGGTGTGGAGGAATCGAACCAGGGTTGGCCAGGTCAGCGGCATGGCAACGCAAACGCCTGCCCGCTGTGCTATCACTATTGTGAGTATACATATATACTCACTAAAGGTAAAGGTAAAGGTAAAGGCCCTCCCGTTGATCGTCGATTTGCTCGAGCGGGCCCAGTAACGTCTCCATTGGAGACTTTGTTGTTACTGTGTCTGGCATATCGAATACTCTCGGCAGCTTGCCGGGCTCTCCGAGAGGGGCGGAGGAATCGAACTCGGGTCGGCCATGTTGGCCGCTTGTAAGGCGAACGCCCTACCGCTGTGCTATCGCTCCAGCCCCTCATATATATATATATATATATATATATATATATATATATATATATATATATATGACTAATATCCAAAGCCAGAGTAAACAGAGGCCAGGAGGACTGGTCAATGGCTGAAAGCTTCCCATAAAAGCATGTGGGGGAAGAAGGGCAGTTAGGATAGTGAAGGGACCAATATGACAATAGTTGGAAATGATCATTTTGGATAGAAACTGAGTGTTGGAAGTAGGTAAAGGAAAATACCTGATAACCTTTCATTCCCTGTATTGCAAACCATAAAGGGGGGGGGGGGTAAAGAAGGGGAGAGAGAGAGAGAAGAGAGAGGGAGGGGAGAGGGAGAAAAAAGGAGAAAGAGGGGTGAGAGAGAAGAGGGGGGGAGAGAGAGGAGAGAGGAAGGGGGAGAGAGAAAAGAGAGACAGAGAGAGAGACAGAGAATGCCTGCCTGCATAGCGACAGGCGGGGTGGGGGGAGGGAAACTGAGACCATTTGTTGTTCGGAAAAGTACACTGGTGAAGGGACTGGTGTTGAAACATTAAATGACACCAAATCATGAACAACTTTATAATTGTGATTCTATTAAAAAATAAAATTTATGAAGACAAAAAATAAAATAAAATGACTTGATTTACAGCACATAAAAATTTTATCTATAACAACTGGCCACTAAAAGATTATCCTGACAATTATTAGAATTAAAATAATTTTGTTTGCTTTTGGGCCACACCTAGCAGCGCTTAGTTGTTGTCTGTGCTAGGAAATCACCCCCTGTCAGGGCATGAGGGACCATATATGGTGCCAGGGATCAAACCCAGGTTGGATGCATGCATAGCAAGCACCCTGTACTATCTATGCAGATGCAAAAATTAAAATAATATTTCAAGTCAGCCATTTCAGGAAAACAGAGCTTTAATACCTTCATGGAAACTGAAATTCTCTAATCAGTAAAACCTGTAAATTTTCATAATGCATATAATATAGCACATTTCAGGTACTGTTCTTATCTGTTAAATGTATAGTCACTGGCAAACAGCAAGATAAAAAGCGTTAAGTCAGGTGGTGGATCTGTGACACCTACAGCAAGAGTTACTTACTGGAACTATGGCCATTACACAAATGTACCAGAATGCCTATTATTACTATGTAGGATCTATTTTACTGGAACACACACATGCATACAGATACATATACATACATATACATATTCATAAATATGTGACACAATTTTAAGCTTTTTTTTAATAAAAGCTAATGTTTGAGTTTTTAATTTCAGAGGTCTGGCAAGCTTGCTTTAAAATTACTTGGTACATATTGTCATATTCGGATAGACAGTAGATATTTTCCAATTTTCCAATATCTATCCTGGTATTTTTTAATACCAGGATAGATATATGTGTGTGTCTGTGTGTATAGCTGTGTGATTTTCTCTTCTAAGAGTGAATATAACTTCTAAGTGTGTCTGACTGAAACATCCAACCAGCTGCCGACCTCAAGTCTGCATCCTCATAATGTGGGTGGTTCACAATTGGGCGAAGAGTAGAGAGCTTGATGCTAGCCATTGTGGGCATGGCACCAGCAAACACGGCATCTGAAAAACAAGATGGTATTTCCTAAAGCATCTTTTACTAAAAAATTACAAAAGCTGTATATATAATATTTGAACTCATATTAGAAAGATGGTATTCATTTAAATATTTGCTACTTGAAACTCTGGGTAGTGGATATATGGCTATGCATTGTGTTTGCCCAGACTTTTATGCATTTATGAAATATTGTATAATTTAAAAAGTAAAGAAAACACATTTCAAAGTAACCAGTTTTTTCTTCATTCAATATTGACTGTTCACTATAACTGCCAACTGCTGTTAAATGTTCATTACCTTGATGCCAGGGATCGTGCTACACTTATTTAATCTGTTTTATTAGAAAGATTCTTTGATACTCCTATTTAGTAGAACAAGCCACCCGTACACAGTGGAGCTGAGAGACTTGTCCAAGCCTGAGCAGTTAGGAAGTATCAGCGCTTTGCTCCCTCACCCCTACCATAGCAACTTCACAGCTTCTTGCCACGTTCAAACAATATGATTCGAATAGTAACTTCACAGCTTCTTGCCACGTTCAAACAATATGATTTGAATGCTAGCTCAGCAAGAAGGGATTGAGAGTGCAAATCGCTGGGGGGTGCAACTACAACACCTCATATGATTCCCTAAGTCCCACCTGAGCACTTTTGAGACTGCTGGGGGTGGTCCCAAAACAGAACGAAACAAAAACAGAGAGATGAGAGCCTGGAAAGATATCTAGAATGAGAAAAAATTATAGTGTTCATAGCTTGTTCTACTAATTTAAAATTCTAAGAACTAAATGTTTTAAAGAACAAGTTTCATGGTACATCTTTTTTAAATAGATTTTGAGCTTCTGTAGGTTATGAACAGCAGTACTCAGAATTGATCAGAGGAAAACGTTTTTCCCTCAGATATTTTTATACATAATTAGCTTCTTTAGTTTCTGTCTAAGTTTATAAAATTATGTATTTCATGAAGTTATTTTATTATTTGCTAGTATTACTTCACAGGTAAATGGCATTTATAAAGATATTTCTGGTAACAACTAGCAATATACCAAAAGATACTAGCCAGTTCTACTTAACTTTGATTTTTCTGTCACAGACCATAAAAAGACCAAATGCTCACTTCTTATATAATAACTTACTATGAGTAATTATAAATATTCTCATTATTTTAATCAATTTTGCATTATGTAAATAACAGGATGTTTGAGATGTACTGAGCATTCTCTAAATACTTCTAAATAAAACTCTTAAGTATCTTAAGTTTGAAAACACATATGTCAACAGAGTATAAATGTTTATTACTGCAAAATTCCAAGTATTATTTTAGTGTGAAATAAACTCTGCTTGATATGGTTTTACATAAAGACAGGAATAAAAGCAGTTGAACTAAAAATATAGTGCAGTGTTTAAAATGAGTGTAAGTGAATTATGAAAACAGAATAATAGATTATAACTCTTATTATTATTAAGATTATAATAATAAGATTATGACTCCACAGAGTTGGAGCAGATATTTGACATTCTCCTTACCCCAGTCGGAAGTCATCTTTTCCAGTGTCCTGTCATGGTGTAGGATTGCTATTAGAAAATTAATTTATCTGTGACTTGTCAATGTCATAAATAAAATACAGCAGTGATCTTAGATCAATAGAACAGATTTTTGTGAGTCATCATTAACTCCTGATGTTTATCAAAACTATTTTGGCAATCATTTAGGAGGATGGGTTTTTAGAAGCATAAAACTGTTTATGCCAGGCTGATTTTGTGAAGAGTGCTGTGAGTAAGCTCAACATCTGGGAGAGTCCAGAAGTCTGTGCATTTTAAAGGTACACAAACACACATGTGAAATGATAACTATATAATATACATTATATATATTATAATAGCATAATATATATACAACTGGACATACTGGACGTAGTATATCCATACTCCACACACCTTGTCTGGTATTGTATTTTATCCACTGTATCAGCTCTTCCTGAGGCAGGTTGCTAAACTCTCCCATCACACTCCACTGGCTATGGAGGTTGGCACAGCCCTGTATTGACATCACTGTTAGAATGCCAAACACAATATTCTCAAAACGAATTTTGCTAAAAAGCCAGCCAAAGAGCTAAAATAAAAGAAGTCATTTATTTACAATTCATATATAGAGTTCTACTTAAAGTTTTCATTGATACTGTCAGCACATTATAATCAACAGAAATATCACCAGTGGTTGTTCAAAAATAGCAAATATTTCAGAATGACAGAATTCTATTAAAAACAGACTTTTCCTTCTCAAAATAATTAAGAATTCCTGATCCTTCTAAGTGTTCATTTACTACTAGAAATTAAGCAGAACAAATCACAAATTTATAGAACCACATCCATTAACATCAACTTGCCTTTTATGGACATAAATAAATAACTCAGAGAAACCCCACAAATACTGACATGTACCTTTTAGTCAGGAAGATAAACATTATAATACTATGAGACAAAATACTCATAATCAAAACTAAATAGGGTACTTCCAGAAGTGCCCTGTTCCCCAAGCTTCAGCGACTTTGTTATGCATCAATAGATGCTGTCCGTGTGACGTATTCAGCAGCTCTTCTGTGTATTAGATATAATGATGGCCTAGATCTGTTAACTTTCCATAAGGAGTCCCTAAGCCAATCAATAAGAGAACAATTCATAGCATATACTTTTAGTATTTGATAAGTAGTTTAGGACACAGTTTTAATAGGTCATGAAACTATTCCAAGACTTTAACTTGAGCAGATTATGTTTTGGAGGCTAAAGAGATAGTACAGTGGGCAGGGCACCTTCCTTGTACAAGTCTGACCTGGGCTTGATCTCCAGTGCCCTATGTGGTCCCTGAACCCCTCCAGGAGAGATCCCTCAGCCTAGAACCAGAAGTAAGTCTATCCAGAGTACCTCTGGGTGTGGCCCAAAATACAAAAAAAATGAGGGGGGGGGGGAGTAAAAGCTGTTTGTGAGGGGCTAGGGAGCATTCAAAGGGCTGAGGTACATGTTCTGTATGTGGGTTCCAGGTTGGAATCCCAGCATCAAGTTGGGAGTGGTCTCTGACTGCCACCAGATATGGGCACAAAACAAAACACAAAGCAAAAAGTATGTTTGTGGATAGGGCACTACCACAGTAACAGAGAAGCACATCACTAATAATGGAATTAGCAGTTAAAATTTAGAATTATTTTCAAAGCTAATTGTACTTCTGTTTCTAACTTTATTCATTTATTTTATTTTGGTTTGGGGCAACACCTGCAGTGCTCAGGTCTTACTCCTGGCTCTGTGCTCAGAAAACACTGCTGACAGTGCTCAGAGAAACATTTGTGTTGCTGGGGAATCTAACCTGGATCAGTCACACACAAGGGAAGTGCCTAACCTGCTGTATGCTCTCTCTCTCTCTCTCTCTCTCTCTCTCTCTCTCTCTCTCTCTCTCTCTAGTTCAGTGCCCAACATTTCGAACATTAGAGTATACCATGAACATTCTAAATCATTTGAAATAAACACAGTGCTTTAATATTTCAGATTACTTGGCAAAGTTGTGGTAACTGCACTATAGGTAGTTAGACAGGTGTTAGATAGATTAGTTAGATAGCCAAACAGCTCCACCACCTACACTCTAGGTAGTGGAGCTGTTTTAGGAAAATGACATCCAAAGGAGTATCTTACCCGTTGAGAGCATAGCAAGGAAGCCATAATACACATGTGTGGCGTCAAAAACAGCTTCATTCTCAAAATTAAAATGGCAATGATGGTAAATGATACCAACTGCAACAGGTGAAACGTTAGCTATAAAAACAAATAAAATGACAATTTCACTCCATATATTTAAAAATGAATAAATATTAAGTATGAAATGTATCATTCATTAGGACCAGTATCTTTAATTTAGTAACGTCTTGATCCATTCAACAAAGATTTATCAAACAAACTTAGTTTATGAAAGACACTGTTTTGGGTACTGCAGACACATCAATGGAAAAACAATAATGAAAAATTTCTGGCCTTATGACTGTAAGCAGAGACTGAAAATAAAGCAAGCATATAAATAAAACCATTAAATAAATAGTCTAGTGATTGGGGTAAAAGTGACAGAAAAGAAAATGAAACAGGGAAGGGAAACTAGAAAAGAAGTATGTGTTGGGAGTAGTTCCAGTTTCAAGAACTATCACTGATACAGCCTCACTGAAAAGGTAGTGTTTTAAGCAAGCCAACCCAAGGTGCTGAAGTAGGCCACAGAAGAAAGTCATGGAATGCTTTGCAGTTCATACATCATCCCCACCCATTAACAAAATTATATCGAAACATATCCCAACTTAATGTAAAAGTAGTAGAATTATATACATATGTATACTAAAAACATCCTTAACTGATGATGGGATTCCACTGAACAAATATCTCTAGCAAAACATTTCTAACAGTTCCCAAAATATCAACCAAGTTCACATTAGAAAAACAGATAAAAAAATATGGGCACACAAGATTAAGAAAGAAGTGATGACAACTAATTATTTGTATTCTAAGTCAAGTACACACAAACATTAACGCTATCATATTCATTTGTAAAAGTGTCACTAAAGTACTACGGAATGTTACAGGATGCAGTGACACACTAAAATAATTAGTACAGGTCTGTGATTTAGTAATATTTTTGAGACCTAGATAAAGAGTCAATCCCTATAACTTAAATTTCTGTTCTAGAAATTTGACTTAAGGAGTAATCAGAACACAAAACTGATCCTATAATAGTTTAGTAGCAAATGATAGAAATAACCTGAAGGTCAATATTGAGCAATAAATAAAAGCAATGCATTTTAACAAGTAAAAGTCCACTGAAAGATAAAATACTGGAATATTACTTAATGGTATAGAAAAAATTTCAGATATCAAACTGTACAACACACCAGATGTTATTAGTTTTGTAAAAACCATCTACAACTATCTATCTTTGTGTGAGTGTACTTAGGGTTGAAGACTGTGGTCATTTATGTATGGAATTTGGGCGCCACCTGCAGTGATATCCAGGGCTTACTCCAGGCTCCGTGCTTAGATATCATTCCTGGCTGTGCTCAGGAGGTCATACATAGTACCAGGGACCTATCTGTGGCTGGTAAGTGTCCTAACACCAATACATAGTGTAATCATACTTGTTTTTGACTTTTAAATACATTCTTTAAAATGAAACGTCAAAACTTTTTCCAACGCTTTTTTTTCACTGAAGTACTTTAAAAATTAATTTATGTTCATAATTAATGAACCATGTTTAAAAAACAGCAACACCCCAATGCAATGATTTAATGCCAAGCCCCACTGATTTGATACTAATCCCTGGATCATCACTGGGCGTGCACCCTGCCCCCCCAAAAAATTAATAAAAAACAAAAGCAGCTGTTTTTAAAAAAATGATTTGAAAAAATTTATAACAACTTGTTAGGCTCATCAAGATAAAAAGAAAATTCTGGTAAAGAGAATGAGAAATAAAAGAAGTAAAACAACAACTGATCCTATAAAATGAAAACCATTATGAAATACCACTATGAACACAAACAAAGCAAACAAACTGAACAACCTAGAGAAAATTAACCTATTTTTAGAATCAAGCAGCTTTTCAAAAATGAGTCAGGAAGAAATAGAAAGTTCAAACACATTAGTAACAAATACTGAAACTGTCCCAAAGAATACAGATAGCTTCACGAGTAAGGTAAAAGGTAAAGGCCCTCCCGTTGATCATCGATCAACTGAGCGGGCCCAGTAACGTCTCCATTGGAGACTTTGTTGTTACTGTGTCTGGCATATCGAATATCGTAGCTTGCCGGGCTCTCCGAGAGGGGCGGAGGAATCGAACTTGGGTTGGCCATGTTGGCCGCGTGTAAGGCGAACGCCCTACCCGCTGTGCTATCGCTCCAGCTTCACGAGTAAATTCTGAAAATTTTCATGTTGCTTTCTTCTCTCTCACTGTTTGCGTATAGGAAAGCCATGGACTTTTGGGTATTGATTTTATAACCTGCAACTTTACTATACGAGTCTATTGTTTCTAGGAGTTTTTTGGTGGAGGTTATTGGGTTCTCTAAGTAGAGTATCATATCATCTGCGAATAGTGAGAGCTTGATTTCTTCCTTTCGTACCTGAATGCCCTTAATATCTTTTTCTTGCCTAATCGCTATTGCAAGTACTTCCAGTACTATATTGAACAGAAGTGGAGAGAGTGGGCATCCCTGTCTCGTCCCTGATCTTAGAGGGAAGGCTCTCAGTTTTTCCCCATTGAGGATGATGCTTGCTGTAGGCTTGTGGTAGATGGCTTTAATTATGTTGAGGAAGGTCCCCTCTATACCCATTTTGGCTAGGGTTTTCATCATAAAGGGGTGCTGGATCTTGTCAAATGCTTTCTCTGCATCTATTGATATAATCATATGCTTTTTATCTTTTCTTTTGTTGATATGATGGATTATGTTGATTGATTTCCGAATGTTGAACCATCCTTGCATCCCTGGGATGAATCCTACTTGGTCATGGTGTATGATCTTTTTGATGAGTAGTTGGATTCTATCCCGTTCACAATTGTGCCCCAGAAAATCAAGTACCTAGGAATCAGCTTAACTAAGGAAGTAAAGGACCTGTACAAAGAAAACTACAAAACGCTACTTCAGGAAATAAAAGAGGACATGAGGAAATGGAAAGATATCCCCTGCTCATGGGTCGGGAGACTTAACATTGTCAAAATGGCAATACTACCGAAAGCACTGTATAAATTCAATGCAATCCCTATAAGGATACCCAAGACATTCTTCAAAGAAATGGAGCAAACACTCCTGAAATTTATATGGAACAAGAAGCCCCCACGAATAGCTAAAGCAATTCTTGGGAAAAAGAAAATGGGAGGAATCAACCTCCCTAACTTCAAACTGTACTACAAAGCAGTAATAATTAAAACAGCATGGTACTGGAACAAAGGCAGAACTGCAGACCAATGGAACAGGGTTGAATACACTGACATCTCCCCTCAATCATATGATCATCGAATCTTTGATAAAGGTGCAAGTAATGTGAAGTGGAGTAAGGAAAGCCTCTTTAATAAATTGTGTTGGCATCACTGGACGGCTACATGCAAAAAAATAGGCTCAGAACTCTGCCTAACACCATGTACAAAAGTAAGATCAAAATGGATTAAAGACCTCAACATCAGACCAGAAACCATAAGGTACATTGAAGATAAAGTTGGCAAAACCCTCCATGACATTGAAGCTAATGGTATCTTCAAAGATGCCACGCCACTGGCCAAGCAAGTGAAAACAGAGATAGATAAATGGGACTATCTTAAACTAAGAAGCTTCTGCACCTCCAAAGAAACAGTGACCAAAATACAAAGACAGTCTACAGAATGGGAAAGGATATTCGCCGAATACACATCTGACAAGGGATTGATATCCAGGATATACAAAATACTGGTTAAACTCCACAAGAAGAAAACATCCAACCCCATCCAAAAATGGGGCAATGAAATGAACAGAAACTTTCTCAAAGAAGAAATCCGAATGGCAAAAAAGCACATGAGAAAATGCTCTACATCATTAATCATCAGAGAGATGCAGATCAAAACCACAATGAGATACCATCTCACACCTCAGAGACTGGCCCACATTCAAAAGAACAAAAGCAACCAATGCTGGCGTGAATGTGGCGAGAAAGGGACACTCCTTCACTGTTGGTGGGAATGTTCACTGGTTCAGCCCTTCTGGACAACAGTATGGATGATTCTCAAAAAATTAGAAATTGGGCTCCCATTTGACCCAGCAATACCACTCCTGGGAATATATCCCAGAGAGGCAAAAATGTATAGTCGAAGGGACATCTGCACTTGTTTGTTCATTGCAGCACTCTTTACAATAGCCAGAAACTGGAAGAAACCTGAATGCCCAAGAACAGATGACTGGTTAAAGAAACTTTGGTACATCTACACAATGGAGTACTATGTAGCTGTTAGAAAAGATGAAGTCATGAAATTTACATACAAGTGGTACAATATGGAAAGTATCATGCTAAGCGAAATGAGTCAGAAAGAGAGGGATAGACATAGAAAGATTGCATTCATCTGGGGGATATAAAGTAACAAAGTATGAGATTAATACCCAAGAATAGCTGAGATCAGCACCAGGATGATTACTCCATAACTTAGAGGCCAGCCGGGTATCCTAGAGGAAAGGGCAGTTCAGATAGAGAAGGGAGCACCAAATAAAGGATGTTCGGAGGATCCTCCCAGGAGGGGAGATGCATGTCGAAAGTAGACTATGGACTGAACATGTTTGCCACTCAATGCCTCTTTTGCAGACCACAACACCCAAATGGAGAGAGAGAACACAGGGGATTGCCCTGCCACACAGGCAGGGGGGGATGGGGGGATGGGGGTGGAAGGGATATTATCCATGGTGGTGAAAAATGGGCACTGGTGGAGGGATGGGTATCTGATCATTGTATAATTGAAACCCAAGCAGAAAAAATTGTAAATCTACAACTGTAAAAAAAAATAAAAATTAAAAAAAAAAATTCTGAAAATTTTTCAGCAAACCAATAACCGTCAAGCTCAAACTCTTCCTCCCAAAAATAAAATTGAGAAGTATCCCATGGACATTCTCTGAAGCCAGTATCACTCTCATTCCCAAGTCAGAGAAGGAAAGCACATGCACACACAACTACACACTAATATATCTGAAGAACATACATGCAAAAATGACACAAAGTCTTTAGAATTGCAACTATCTCAAGAGAATCATTCATCATGACCAAGTGGGATT